TCTGCTGGTGTTTTTTACCACTGTCTGTCCCGGGTCGCGTATTCGTTCGCGATCTTGGATTTTACTTATCTCTATCCGCATGTCGCGTATTACGCTTACTAATTCGGACACTGTAGCTCGTATATCGTCGTTTTGCGCGGTGGGCAATACTACCCCGCTTTTAAACGGTGTAATGTCTCTGTTACTCCCGGTTACTATCCCTAACGCTTCGTCTACCTTTTGACCGACTGCGTTCGGATCCGTTCCTATCGCGTGCGCCATGTCCCGTTGTCCTTTCGAATCGGGTTTACCTGTCGCGATTGACTTTAATGCGGACGCGTGCCTATTTACTAGGCTATATGCCGGACTGCTTTCTGGTTCCGTATCGGAAATCAAAATCACTTTAGGCGAAGTCGCGATTTCCTGATTGGGTACTTCTGTGGCGTCGGAGTCGGACTCCTTGCTTGTGTAGTACTCCTTTAAATTTCGGCGGACACGGTTTCGTCTATTTCGCGGTATTCGTTTGACAGTGTGTGAAGTTCGTGGATTTTCGTTCGCTTTTCGGGCTGCTTCGCTTAACAGCCTCCACAAATCAATTTCGCGCGGTGTTACAGGGCCACTCCCTGACACCTACTTTTATTTGTTTCGGCAATTTCGCTCGCTTTTACAAAAGTCTTAATACGACATACATTAGACGCATGTTGATTTCTCGATCAATCCTGCTGTCGTAGTTCAGTGCCGCTCGGGTGTCGACTGGTTGAGGCTGGTCAGGGCTGCTTCTCCGGTTTCCCTCGGCGTTATCGCTCGTCAGCCGCTACCGTCGGCTGCTACCGGGTGTCCGTGTCGTTCGCAGTCCTCTGCTAGTCCTCGTTGTCTTTACTCAGCTGTTCCTTGGTCCTCTGAGGCAGTGTTCTCGACTCAGTTGTTCACAATCCCAGTACCGCTGCCACCACTTTTGTTACCGCGCCGCTCCGTGCGCGGTGTACTTTCCTTCTTACTCGCTCCGGAGGTGTTCTCTGACGAGAACCGAAAGGATTCTTTGATGGGATGTGGCTGGTCGGAGGTCACTTCAAAAAGGCACCGTTTAACTATCACTATGTAGCTTTATTCAGCTGAGTGTTACACTGATTGTTTACGGCAGGCCGGAGGCCTGACGGACAAATGCTTAGCGCGTAAACGTATACTATCGAATGACGCGTGATTGACAAGTGCCCCGATCTCGGGCTTTCCTCTGGTTTTAAGCCCGATGATCGAGGCGTCAGCGTTCTCGGTACTCGATAGCGGTCATTCGTAATTGGGTCGAGAATTTGCTGACTTCTTCTTCGAATTTAATTAGGTTGCACGGTCGGGCTTTTGTGGTTCGATCGCGCAATATGCTTACGCTAGTGTTATTCTAATTGCAGTTACAATGCTTGAGTGCCCTCCTTACCTCTTTATGCAATCGGGGCACAACAGCACCGTGTAAGGGCGTCTTTCATTTCATCTGTAAATATGGCATGCATAACAAGGAACTGTGACGAGGGAATGTCTCGAAAGATGGGAATGGCATCTTTGGCTTTCTTAATAACTGATTCAGATATAACATCATGACAGTGCAGGGACATGACTTTAGGTAGATGGAAAAGATTTTCAACTCCTTCAAAGAATTCTTTTGCTGTATCTTCTGTAATCAAAGTTTGCAATCGTTTAAAACAATTTGAAGAAGCTACAGAGATTCTATCCAGGACATTTCTCCTCTTCTGCCGGGACAGTAAGTTCAGTGCCTTCTTTGTGTTTTCACCAACAGTCTGCTCGATATTATTTGAATTTTTCATAATGCCCTACGTATTTAATAGCTCTCTTAACTTAGGGTAAAGCTTGTGGGCAAGAAGGTACTTGCTCCCTTCAAAGAGACGGATAGTTTCATACACACATGTACCATGTTCCCTTACGAAAGTTGCCTCTGCTGCTATTATAAGCACATCTTCAGGAGTCGGGGCTGTGAAATACTTAATTGACTTCACATCATTACTATCAGACAAAGATTTTGCGTACTCCACCACATCTTTAACATAAACTTCCAGATAATCGGATGACATCTTCCAGGAACCCCACCGTGTAAGTACAGGCAAAGGGAACAAGTTAGGAGTTTTCTTTCTTGACTCCTTATATTTGGATTCCAAGAACTTGAAATAATTGTGCTTTCTCTTCCTTGTATTTTTAAAAAGTTTCTTACATTTAGAAACACATTCATTTAGGCGTTGAAACTTTGTTGGAAAAATTTGTGTTATTGTGTCCAATTTATGATCCCAGCATTGTATATGAATGAGATCTGGGTTCACTAATTCCTTAAGAAGGCGAATACACTTGTTCATGTATGGTGCACTGTCTACAGATATGCCAAAAACATTTCCATATTGGACACCATACTTATTTAAAAGTTAAAATAGAGTACCAGACAATTATGAATTGATAGTATGTCATACTGGTCATACAACAAATAAAAATTAAAGAAAGGCTGGGGAAAACAACGAAATATTCACAAACTTTCTCATATATTTTTATATGAAAATAATAATCATTAATCAACTTCCTCATGTAAAAGCTCATCTCATATATCATAATTTGTAGGACCAAGCATTCTGAATTGATAGGTTTAAAAAGATACATTAATGACAATTACCATAATAATTGTCTTTGAAGTCTGTTCTCCTGTCACTTCACTGAGCACTGTTGCACCAGCAACAATCAGTTGACATGTTCCTTTGGAATCCGAAGGAAGTAATTTAAAGAGAGTAACAAAAACAGCTTTTCCAGTCCTGTCAGTGGTTTTATCACAGCGTAAAATGATTTTCTTATCTTTCACAGCCTCTCTGATATTTTTATCATTGTCTTCTCTGAGTTTGGGAATATAATATTGTCTGATCCAACGAACAGACGGCAAATTTCCAGCACCTAAAATAAAGAATATACAAGTTTCAGTTTTCTAGGCAGCTGTCTCATTATTGTATCAATCTATGACTATGATATGATTAACAAGAGAGTTAGGTTGAATAATCTTAATTACAATTAAGTAGCAAACTGACACTCCATGAATGATTTAATTTTTAATTGCTGCCACCTTACCTTTAATATGCTTATTTATCCATTTCTTCAGATCTTCATTATCTAGCTTTTCAAGCGGGATATTAGATTTTAGAAATGCACTGACTGTATCACAAATAAATTCTTCTTTCTCAACCTTCATCTTTTTTGCTTTATCTAATGCATCATCAACAGACATCTGTCTCTTCATGCGATTTGTGCTTTCTGCTGCTAACGCTTTTTTTGACTTATGTCCGTCAGATTCACAATGGTTTAATACTGTACTTCTTCTTTCCCAACAGACCCTCACATTGCACCATTGGCACATCATCACTTGCTTTTTGCGGTCAAACACATACATCCCATCTTTAATGAATTCCTCTGCTCTTTGAGTTACATTTATATTTTTTGCTCTTGGTCTCCCCATCTTTCGATGTTAGTTCGCTTCGTACTTTCCAGAAAACACGAATCAGGCCAACATACGTCGCGCCTTTTTAATACACTCTGTTCCACAAGAGCGTGTCGATCGTATCTTCTGAAAACAAGAAAATTGTTCAAAATTAAACTTATGATCTTGAAATATAATCATTTCACTACCATGCATTTACTTAATATGTTGTCCAATCGCCATTATTGTCGATTATGGCCTGACACCGTCGGGGCATACTTTCGACGAGATTTCCCGCCATTGTTTCGGGTAAAGACCTCCATATTTGTCGGATGTGACGTGATAACTGTTTCTTATTAAAGACTCGCTTTTCCC